TCATGTCTTAAATACTTATGAATTCTGGACTTTAACACAAAATTAAGAACAAATATAAATGCAACAGCAAATACACTACACATTTGAATAGACCCATCAGATGGAGAACACTAACAGCTAAACTAATATTAACTGCAGATTTGGAATATAATAATGGACCGGTTTAAGTCACTCTCCATAACAAGTGTTCTAGTCTAAGGGAGGGCACTGGCCATAGAGGGAGGCAACTTAAGTGTGAGAGGTACATGATCAACTGCAAATCTCTGGATCTTCCTTTCAATTTTGCTGTGAACTTAAGCCTGAAATTTAAAAAAACAGTTTATAGTGCAAAGGGTACAACTCCATGGTACAGCACTTGCCTGGTACGAATGGAATCTCAGGTTTTTTGGCAACCACTGCAAAAAAGAAAAGAATGGAACCGAAAAGAAAACAGAAGAGAAGAAACAAGAAGAAAATCTATTAATTAAAGACAGGTACTGAAACTATTACCATGTTATAGAAACTCAATATACAATAGGAGATAATTCCAAGATCAAAGAAACACACTATTACTATCATCTCCTAAACCAAAGAGTGGAATATTATACAAAGCCATATAAATTAAACACTTAAGTGGGAAAATAATTCATAAGAGGGGCAACATTTTAAGTCAAACACATTTGTTTAAAATATTAAAAGTTTAATCTTAATTCACACAAAGTAGCCATAGTGATTTAAAACATTTTCATGTACAGGAATTCAAGGAAAATTAAATGAATGAAGTATTTTAGGTTATAAATTTCCTATAATTCATTTCCTAAATTCTTCTAAATATGGGGTATTAACAAAAAATTAAACACAAATATAAATTGAACTGTAAATACACTTCACATTACAATAGAACCATGAGATGGGGAACACAAACAGTGAATCCTAACACTGACTGCAGACTTCGCTTGGTAATGATGGGCCAGTGTAAGTCATTGTCTACACTAAGTGTACTACTTTAGAGGAGGGCACTGCCTGTGGAGGGAGGCAACTCATGTGTGAGAGGCACACAGTCTACTGGAAATCTCTGGATCTTCCTTTCAATTTTGCCGTGAACTTAATCCTGATGTTTATAAGTGTTCATAGTGCAAAGGGTACAGTTCAGTGGAGGGGCACTTGCCTTGCATGAGTGGAGTGCCAGGTCTACCAATCCCTGGAAAAAAGAACACATAAAAAATAAAAGAGAAGAAACAAAGCTCTTAATTAAAGATAGTTACTGAACCCACTACTGCAGAAGATACAGAAACTCAGTATACCCCTGGAGATAATTACAAGATCAAAGTAGCACAGACTAGATATCATCTCCTAAACTGAAGAATAGGAAAATATGGAGAACAACATAAGTTACAATCTTGGGTGGGAAAATAATGTATAAGTGACTTAACATTTTATTTTTAGTCACAAAAAACTCTTCTCAGTGATACAATCATACAGTAATATGGTTTTTACTAAGTCTAATGCATTTATTAACATATTAAACCTTCACTATATGTTATTACACAGACACTAGACATAGTGATTTAAAACTCTTTTCATGTATAGGATTTCAGAAGTAAAAATTAATAAATGGAGTGTTTTGGAATAAAATTTTCCTACACTTAATTTCTTAAATACTTCTGAATTCTGCAATATTAAGAAAAAAACAAGAACAAATATAAACGCAGCAGTAAACATACTACACATTTGAACAGACCCATCAGATGGAGAACGCCAACAGTTTGCCCTAATGTTAACTGCCAACGTTAGATGATAACGTAACGATGGACCACTGTAAGTCATCATCTGTAACAAGGGTACTCCTCTAGGGGCGGGCACTGGCCATGGAGGGAAGCAAAACACTTTGTGTGAGAGGGACATGATCAATCAAAGCCCTCTGGATCCTCCTTTCAACTTTGCTGCGAACCTAAGCCAGACATAAAAAACAAAGTTCTTAGTGAAAAGGGTACAGCTCTGTGGTAGAGCACTTGCCTGACTTGAGTGGAGTCTCGGGTTCAGTGGCAACCACTGCAAAAAGGAAGACAATGGAACAGAAAAAAAAGAGAATAAACAAAGAAACAAAGAAAAAGGTATTATTTAAAGAAAGTTAATGAACCTACTAATACCATGATACAGAAATTTAGTATACAATTGGAGATAATTCAAAAACACAGTAACAGTGTGTAGATATCACCTCCTAAACCAGAGTAGGACATTATACAGAACAATACAAATTACATACTTTAGTGGGAAGATAATAATTGTTAAGTGACTTAAAATTTTATTTTTAGTCACAAAAATCACTTTTCAGTAATACAACCATGTAGTAATATTCTTTTACTAAGTCTAACACATTTACTTAAAAAATTAAAAGTTTACTCTAATGTTAGTACACACAAAGTAACCATACTAATTTAAAACTATTTTTCATGTATAGGATTTCAGAAGTAGAAATTAAAGAAGTGTAACATTTGGATTAAAAATTTCCTATAATTATCTCCTAAATTCTTCTGAATATGGAGTATTAACAAACAATTAAGAACAAACATAAATGCAACAGTAAATACCCTACACATTTGAATAGACCCATTAGATGGAGAACACTAACAGTGAGCCCTAACATTAACTGCAGATTCAGATTTTAAGGATAAGGGTAGACTCGTGGTAAGTCATCGTCTATCACAAGTGTACTACTCTAGGGGAGAGCACTGGCCATGGAAGGAGGCAACTTATGTGTGAGAGACACATGATCAACTGCAAATCTCTGGAGCTTCCTTTCAATTTTGCAGTGAACTTAAACCTGATATAAAAAAGCAAACTTCTTAGTGTAAAGGATACACCTCAGTGATAGCGCACTTGCCTGGCCTGAATGGAGCCACAAGAAAAGGTTGAGGCTCTGCAAAAGGGAAGACAAAAGAAAATAACACAGGAAAAAGCTGTTAATTAAATGTAGTTACCGAAACTACTACTACCATGTTACAGAAACTCAGTATATACCTGGAGATAATTACAAGATCAAAGTAGCACAGAATAGGTATCATCTCCTAAACCAAAGAATAGGAAAATATATAGAACAATATAAGTCACATACTTAGGCAAGAAAATAATTGATAGGTGACTTAACATTTTATTTTTATTCACAACAATCACTTCTTAGTGATACAATCATGTAGTAAAATGGTTTTACTAGGTCTAATGCATTTATTAAAATATTAAAACTTCACTATAATGTTAGTGCACAGATACTAGACCTACTGATTTAAAATACTTTATCATGTACAAGATTACAAAATTGAAAATTAAATAAAAGGAATATGTTAAATCATAATTTCCTATACTTCATGTCTTAAATACTTATGAATTCTGGACTTTAGCACAAAATTAAGAACAAATATAAATGCAACAGCAAATACACTACACATTTGAATAGACCCATAAGATGGAGAACACTAACAGTGAAACTAATATTACCTGCAGATTTGGATTATAATAATGGACCGGTTTAAGTCACTCTCCATAACAAGTGTTCTAGTCTAAGGGAGGGCACTGGCCATAGAGGGAGGCAACTTAAGTGTGAGAGGTACATGATCAACTGCAAATCTCTGGATCTTCCTTTCAATTTTGCTGTGAACTTAAGCCTGAAATTTAAAAAAACAGTTTATAGTGCAAAGGGTACAACTCCATGGTACAGCACTTGCCTGATACGAATGGAATCTCAGGTTTTTTGGCAACCACTGCAAAAAAGAAAAGAATGGAACCGAAAAGAAAACAGAAGAGAAGAAACAATGAAGAAAAACTATTAATTAAAGACAGGTACTGAAACTTTTACCATGTTATAGAAACTCAATGTACAATAGGAGATAATTCCAAGATCAAAGTAGCACAGTATTTGTATCAGAAAATATCCAGTATCCAGAAAATATCCAGGAATATTATACAAAGCCATATAAATTAAATACTTAAGTGGGAAAATAATTCATAAGAGTGACAACATTTTAATTTTAGTCACAAAAATCACTTTTCAGTAATACAGTCTTGTAGAAATATTCTTTTACTAAGTCCAACACGTTTATTTAAAATATTAAAAGTTTAATCTTAATTCATACAAAGTAGCCATAGTGATTTAAAACTTTTCATGTATACAAATTCAAGGAAAATTAAATGAATGAAGTATTTTAGGTTATAAATTTCTTGTAATTCACTTTCTAAATTCTTCTAAATATGGAGTATTAACAAAAAATTAAACACAAATATAAATTGAACTGTAAATACACTTCACATTACAATAGAACCATGAGATGGGGAACTCTAACAGTGAATCCTAACACTGACTGCCGACTTTGCTTGGTAATAATGCGCCAGTGTAAAGTCATTGTCTACACCAACTGTACTACTTTAGAGGAGGCCACTGGCTGTGGATGGAGGCAACTCATGTGCAAGAGGCATGTGATCAACCAAAAATCTCTGGATCTTGCTCTCAATTTTGCTCCAAAATTAAACCTGATTTAAAAAAATCTTAGTGCAAAGGGTACAGCTCACTGATAGAGTACTTACCTGGCATGGATGGAGCCTCCATTTTAATTGCAACCACTGCAAAAAAGAAGACAAAAGAAAAGAAAAGCATACAGGAGAAAAGAAAGAAACAAAGGGTAAAAGCTATTAAATGAAAATAGTCACTAAATCTACTAGTATCATGTTACAGAAACTCAGTATACAAATTCACATAATTTCAAGATCAAAGCACCACAGTATAGGTATAATCTCTTAAGTGAAGAACAGGAAAATATCCAGAAAAATATAAACTGCACATCTAAGTGAAAATAATTGAGAAAATTGACTTAATGTAATAGTTCTAGTCAAAAACTCACTTTTTAGTGATATAACCATATTATAATATTCTTTCACTAAGTCTAACAAATTTACTTAAATTAAAACTTTAGTGTTAGTGTGTATAAATTAGCCATACTGATTTAGAACTCTTTTTCATGTATGGGATTTCTGAAGTAAAAATTAAATAAATGGAGTATTTTAGATTATAAATTTCCTATACTTAATTTCTTAAATACTTCTGAATTCTGCAGTGTTAAGAAAAAATAAAGAATAAACATAGATGCAACAGTAAATATGCTACACATTTTAAAACAGCCATCTGATAGAGAACACTAAAAGTGACACTTCGGATGGTAACGATGGACCCCTGTAAATCATAGTCTATAACAAGCATTCTAATGTAGTGGAGGCCTCTGGCCCCTGAGGAAAGCAACCCATGTGTGAGAGGCACATAATAAACCAGAAATTTTTGGATATCCTCTTAATTTTGCTGTGAACTAAAACCTGATATAAAAAACAAACTTCTTGGAGCAAAAGATACACCTGAGTGGAGGGGTACTTGCCTGGTGTTAAAGAAGTCTCAGATTCACTTGAAACCACTACAAATAAGAGAACAGAAGAGATAAAGAAAAGAAACAAAGAGAAAACACTATTAATTGAACATAGTTACTGAATCTACCATTACCATGTTACAGAAACTCGGTATACAATAGGAGATAATTCCAAGATCAAAGTAGCAGTGATAGATATTATCTCCTGAACTGAGGAGTAACAAATTATACAGATCCATATAAATGACATACTTAGGATGGAAAATAACTGATAAAAGTGACTTAGCATGCTATTTTTAGTCACAAAAATCACTTTTCAGTAATAAAATCATGGAGTAATATTCCGTTACTAAGTCTAATCCATTACTTAAAATATTAAAAGTTTACTCTAATGTTAGTGCACAGAAAGTAGCCACACTGGTTTAAAATTCTTTTTTGTGTTTAGAATTTTAGAAGTAAAAATTAAATAAATGGAATGTTTTAGATTAGGTCTTTCTTGTAATTCATTTCTTAAATAATTCTGAGTTCTGAATTATTAAAAAAATTAAGGAAATATAAATTTAATTGACACAGTGAATGTTTTAACTCCTCTGTGTTCAAAATTTTTTCTTACTCTTTTCCTTTTTTGTTGTTTTTGTCTTTTGTTTTTTGTTCTTTGAGACAGGGTCTCACTATGTAGTGCAGGATTGCCTTCAACACAAGAAGGTACTCCTGCCTCAGCCTCGCCAGTGCTGGGGTTACAGGTTTGTGCCTTCACACTTATCCTTTTGTCTTTGAAAATCAAGACAGGGCCACCAAGTGTAATTCACTATGAGAAGTCTTACCTGCAGGGCTATTGTCAGAATTTGAAGATTCCTTTTTTTCACATTGAGAATTTTTTCTATGCAAAAAAAGTGATTTAAAATTGATATAAAACATATTAAATTACTAAGCGTATTTCAGACAATGTTAGATCTAATATGAAAACTTTACTCCAATACTTTACTCCAAATCTGTCGTGTCTACAAAACTTTATTACACCTGTAATTAAGGAAGAAAAAACAGTAAGTAAAGTGAGGCAGGCATCAATCAAGAAAGGCAAGACAGCTCCAAGCATTAGCTGGATTAGCACAATTTAAGAGAAACTGTCTTGAAATCACAAGCTCCGGCTCGAAAACCAACAGCTGTTTCTTTTTGCATAAGTCATTTCCCTTAGACTCAAAGTCTTATAAACTGTAAGGACTTGGCTAATTTAGTTTACCAGAATCCCATGAAGGTTTGATGAGGTAACATAGAAACCTGCTCTCAGAAATAATAAAGTAAGGGGTGAGTAGTTCCTAAATGCTCACCTAATTTGGAATTCCAACTACAACCCAATGTGTGTATTTTCAGATTGTAGTATTCAAGTGCTGTAGTTACCAGAAAATAATGGGTCTTAATTTGGACTATGAACTCTTCTCTTCTCTGTGGCTTATAATTCATGGTATATCAACTTTTAAATAATTTATAACTAAGTCTATTTATAAATATCTCATTAAATTGGACAACATATTTGTCCTCTACTACTGAACTAGTTATGCCAATGGCAGAAAAGTAACAGATATCAGGACCTGAAATAAAACTTCAAGCAGAACACATAACTGTATCAGACAAACACGACCAGACAGGGAAAATCAAATAATAATTAATACAATTGTGATGGAGCTGTTTAATTCCCCATTGTCACAAAGACATAAACCAAGTAGACAAAAATCAGCAAACAAATATCAGAACTGAATAAAACCTGTGAACAAGTGGACTTGGTAAGTGTTTACAACATTCCACCGAACAACATTAGGATACATGTTCTTCTCAGCTGCAAATGGGACATTCTCTAGACCATATACTGACCCACAGAATATGCTTAAGTAAGTACTAAGGAACTGAACTTATCCCAGGCATATTTCCTGATGACATCCCAGTGAAACTGGATATTAACACCAAAAGAAACCACAAAAATTCCATAAACACATGGAAATAAATAACATACTCCTGAACAACCAATGGGTCACAGATGAAATTAAAAAAGAAATTAAACAATGTCTACAATTAAATGAAAATGCAGATACAACTTCCTGAAACCTTTGGAATGCAATGAAAGTAGTCCTATGGGAAATTTGTAATAGTGAAGTCTCACATCAGAAAAACAGAAGGAGCAACAACTTAATGTTGCATCTCAGGTTTCTAGGTAAAGAGGAGAAAGGGAAGACTAAAACCCATATAAAGGAGGAAGTTATAAAGATCAGTGTATAAGATAGACAGTGATATTACTGAGTTTTGTTGGATCATTGAACAGAACTGTTTGGTCTCACAGTTTGAATGTCCAATACATAAGCTTTAATTTTGTAATTTGAACAAATATTTCTAAGATGACAATATGTAATCCACTAACTAGTGATTTCCTACTGTTTATTTTTTTTCTGAAATTCTGTATAACTTGTACCCTTTTTCTGCTTTTTTCTTTTTCCCCTTAAATAAAATTGAAAAAAAAAAGATCAGTGCAGAAATTAATGCAACTGACACTAAGAAGATAATACAGAGAACTAATGAAGTTAAAAGTTAGTTCTTTTAATGACCTGGAATGGACTAATATTCTTCCTCTACACAACAAAACTCTGAGTGTGATTCTAATAAAGATCTGCTAGTTCAATTTCTGTCTGTCTCCAATTGAAATGAAAGGCAAAACACTCTTCTATGTGGGACATATTGTGTCATGCTGGGGCTTAGTTCTCTTTAAATGCAACTAATCTACTATGAATTCAGAGAGTGTCATTTAATGGCTTCTGTATGAGACAAAATCTGTAAATATTCTAGAGTCTTGGTTCCAAAACAAAAGTAAATTTTCAGTACTAAACAGTTTCAGAAGCCAATCAGAAGTTGTTGCCAATTCAAGGCTTATTTCAGGACCTTTCAGAACTTATTTAAAGGTGCTACTCTGTATAAAGAGACTTCTGGGTAAAGATCTGGTAACAAAGAAAAAAGGAACTTTGATCTCTTTCTTAAACATTACTTGAGCCCTCCAAGACTTTACAATGATCCCAACTCTTATTTTCTGGCAGAAGACTAATGAAGGTCTCAAAGCATGAGCCACGGTGAAGGTCTCCACCAACATGCAGGATCCATGTAGGATTCTGAAGGAGTAGGTATAGTCATTTTGCTTCCTATGCTTGGGGCAAATCTATGAGGTTCAGCCACCAATGTAAAGTGCTGCTAGTTCAGGGATAGAAACTGAATATAAAAGCACAAATACTAAATCAGTAAGTAAAATAGGCTGCAATTAAGTGTGTATTTCCATGAAGGCTCAGAGATCTGAATCAGTAATGACAACCTAGGACCAAATCTTAATCACCACTACACTGAGAGATATTTAATAGCAACACAAATCACGAAAGCACATTTGACTTGTGAAAGAGGACTGAATTCCTCAGTTTTAAGCAATCTCTTGGATTTTTGGAAAATTCATGGAGGAGGGTTTAGGAGCTCCCACAGGAAAGTAACAAGATTTTCTGCTAACTTAGACATGTCAGGACCCAAGTGGTTAATTAGAAAAATCTAAAATGTGACACTACTTGTACACCATGGAGAATTGTATTAGCAATTACATGGGATCGCTAAGGATAATGATCCTCAATTCCCAAGAGTCTGGGGTGTATCTCAGTGCTATGACACATGCCTCACATGTGTGAAGCTCTCAGTTAAATCCCTGCTTTTGTGCTTTATGAACCTATGTTAAACTTCTTTAGCTAGTGGAAGATCAAACGACCAGCAAAATGAGAGCACAAATAGCAAACCTCAGTCTGAGAGCCCCACTCCCAGACAAAGCCAATGCCCCTGTCCCAAAGCAGAGTTTGATGATAACCCAGGAATTCAGCATTGTATCCCCAGCTGACATAGATGCCTGCCTGGGACCCACACTGGGTAAGGAGATCCCAGACCTGAGCACACCATCCCCCAGTCCTGGGTTCCCCACAGCACAGGGTCACAAAGGTGAAAACCAACAGATCCACCTTCACTAGGAAGAGAGTAATGCCCAGAAAGTTTCAGTCCAACACTGAACTGACAGCCTACCTCAGAGAACAGGCAAGATCCTTTGGAGACAGGATAGATAGGGTGAGAGCTAAATACAGATCTCCTGGGGTCAACTGGGAGGTATGGGTTTTAAACAGGAAGATCATGGAGGCAGCATTCTCTTGTGGGAGACCAGGTTTGGTGGAAGTAACAGTTAGAGGGCCACTTCTAAAGAGGGCATACATAGTGCATGTATGCACTATGCCACTTATATCCATCAAAACTTAGTGGCATGAACTACTACAGTAAGTATAACTCACTTAAAAGATAGTCTTCCTTGTTTTGGTGAAGGGCTGATCATGAGTGGTTTCTAGGATTTGTGAGTATCCACTTGAAATTTGATTCCATTGTTGTTGTTGAATTTATTACAACAGCCAATGTAACACATCAGTGGCCGGGAATTAATTTTCTCTCTATGCCACCAGGTGCATAGCTGGGGTGGGGGATATACCATACTGTGATTTACTCCCCACCAAAACAGGACATTAGGCCGAAGAATTTGTAAACTTAATCACAAAAACAAACAGAAGAAAATGAAACATGGAAAGATAAGGCAATAAAATGCCCTCACAACCTCCTAACACCCTCCAGACCAATTTGGAGGTCCCTAGGGAGGAAATCATAAACCACAGAGCAGAAATCTCTGAAATGGTATCCATACAGATAAAACACTTTCACAAGGAAGTTTGCAAACTTTAAGAAGATATAACTAATCAGATAATGAGCCTTCTGAAACACATAGTCAACAAATTCAGAGAAGATACTAATAAATAGGTTTTAGAACTACAGAAAGAGATATGAATATGAATACCTATAATAGAAAACAATAGGAATTCAAAAATGTTTAATGTAAACAGCGCAAACCTAGGAAACAGGTTGAGATCAATGATCACTTATGTACCTTAAAAGCAACAAAGAGACAAGAAAAATGGATCTTATATCTCCTAGAAAATTCAAAGAAGACTAATACAAGAGGAATACAAATTAGTGGAAACTCAGAAGACAGCAGAATGGACATAGAAAACTTGTTAGGGAAAGAAATAGCAGAAATCATACAAGCAGGTGAAGTATGATCACAATAGACTTGATTAGAAAATACTACTCCATGCCACATACTTTAAAAAACAGACATATAACACAAGAAGTGTATCTTAAAGGCTATTGATGCAAAGTAATGAATTGCCTATTAAGGAAAAGCCAGCAGAATTATAATAGATTTCTCAGCACAAAACTTAAAGGCAAGGACAGCATGGAAGTCAGTGTTTCAAGCTCTAAAGGGAAATAACTTCTAACCTTGACTAAAATTATCTCTCAAAATTGATGAATAAGATACTTCCATAATAAAGAAATCCTAAAGATACTTATGACCACCCAACAAATATTCCAAAAACTTTGCAAGTATATCTTAGGACAAAATGAATCTAAAAACATCAAAGATGCAAATAAAAAAATACACCATGGTACAGGAGACCAGAAAATGGCGGCTTGGTAGGGGATTGGGTGGAGTCTCTCCAGAGAAATCATATTAAAAGCTAGAATATGACAACATGGAGAGGGCCAGACAAATGGTAACGATTCTTATTAACTAAGACAGTGCAGCTGGAGGATTTAATGTCGTGCTGAGACTGTGAAGGCTGAAAACGGGAGGCTGCAAATCCCACGCCTTTAAATCAACAATTTGACCCGTGGACCCAACAGGAAAAGCTGTGTTGGCTTTTGGTGACTGCTGGAAACTGAGACCTGAGATCCCGAGAAGCAGCCAGGACTGCAGGAGATCGTAAAAGGCTCTTGAGC